ATTATTTAGTAACCTGACACCGACTAAATGATCATCAAAGGTGGATCATGGTGCAAGGTGACGGTGACCATGACCTTTGTACTGGCGGTTCATACTGAAGCGATGGTGGTGTTAACCTCTACACAGACGTCTTGGTCGTCGAAGCGACAGCGAAGCTGCACCGTAGACAGTCGGGTCGAAGTACAAGGCGACAGTGCTGGTGAACCCTACACAGGCGATTGATGTGCTCATACGATGGTGATGATAGCCTCCACATAGGCGAATCGTTTGCCAATGCGACGGTGTTAGTATATACCCACAGGTGGATCATGCTCCAATGCGACGGAAGTAAGGACCTTATCACAGACGGATGATAAGTCAATACGACGGTGTACTCTACCCCACAGTCGGTCTTAGATGACAACGGTGATGGCTATGACTATCACTATCTAGAGCTTACTGTCGAGGCAAAAACTAGACTACGATGGGGTTACGATGCGGTTGTGAAAGGTCTGAGTGTAGTAGTGCGGGGTAGGTCTCGAAGCCGTCGAGGTCGCTGTTGGCGAGCACCCGCCGGTCAAACCCGCCAACGCCGCGGTCAGTGCGGGCATGACGCCAGGCCCCCTATCAGTGGCTGAGAGTAGACAGAGGGTGAGTGAGAAAAGGATTTTATCCTTTTTTTGATTTTCAGAAAATATTAATAAACATTGATTCTTGTTTAATTCATAACTAAATAATTAGAGCTGATAAAATTATGAAAATTTTTGTGTAGCCTTGTTATGATGTGATTAATCATGGAAAATATGAATTTGCCTTAATCAATAGCTTTGCTATGATTAAAAATTACCTCTTTTAATTATAAAATAGACTTTGTACGATTTTTGTAGGGTAAAATAATAATCCAAAAATCATGAAACTTTTTGTGTATGCTTTATATGTTTAGACCTACCTTCAAAAAAATCTTGGTGCTGTTTTGATAAAAATAAATTGTCCACTTATTTAAATGCCTTTTCTTGATTAATAAAAATACAAAATGACTTCTATAAATACTTAAATGACTTTGATGTGATTTTGGGACTTGAATGTGAACCTTGGAACACTCATCACTTTGTTGTTCCTTGGCAACTTAATCCTTTTCATGTTATACTCATAATTAACTTGTTAATAATAATAACATTATTAATTTGTGAATAGTTAACTTAATTATACCGCGAAGGAAAGTTGTACTCAAGTTAATTAATCTTGTTTGGTCATCTTAATCCATGTTATATCTTCCATATGTCATGTTAAGTCTATCATCATTCTAAAGCATGCATTTTTACTTACGTTTAGTGAACGAGAGTGGTGATCCTTTGGTTGAGCAAGTCCCTGAGGAGGGTTTTCATTCAGTGGAAGTGGGATCTGATAATTGTGATACTTTTGAAGTATCTGACAACCCCAACACCGTAGGCAAACCCAAGAGCATAGACCCCTTTCCTTATGATTTGCAAATGTTATTCACTTAAGTCTATTGCTTTGTGCATTTAAGTAAAATAGGATTTGGTTGAATACCAACTACTGCATGCCTGCCTTGATGATCCAATACTCATCCTTGTCACCCTGTCACTAATAGTAGATTAATCATGCTTCACCAGGCCTAGAAGATAAAAGTTGAGCAATAAGGTATACTTCAAATGTTTTTACTCAGGAATGACCCTAAGATTTAATGATGGTTAAGAAATTAATTTGAGATCGGACGGGACATGGGTTATGTTTCTGGTGGTTAAGCTGATAGATTTACGTAGTCATGCTCATTCCGTCTGTGTCGATTGAGAACCGTACCGTTATAGACCTATCGTGGTTGAGACTTTGTAGTACTAGCCACATACTACGGTAAGCTTAATACCTTGGCTATTCCATCATGTGAAAAGACGACCACGCACTGGGAGTGGGAGATGGCGAGAGTAGCGTGTACACACCCTGTGAATCCATCGAGGAACGGCACAAGGAGGTGGAGTACCGTGCTCTCGGGTAGTGTGGACCGGTTAACGTTTTGGAGGATCCGAATGAAGGTTGATATGTGTAGGTCCGGGACCTGCATATGTCGTGTGGTAAGGAAACCCCAGCTAGGCCTAATCGATTCGAATCGCCATTGCTTCTCGGAGAAGGACTCAATCCCCCGATCTACATAGTAGTTAATTAATGAAACCATGGTACTTATGATCATGAGATGAGATGGTTAAGGAAGTGATTGATTTAGATCAGGTACAAACTGGAGACTTATAATGATTTAACTTGAGCTAAAACATTGAAAGTAAGGATCAATCCTTAGTAAGCTTTTCCGCAAAAGTTAATCATGATTCTTGCTTCAGACTTACCTTGATTCCCCTTAAGCTTGCATATCTTTGGAGTCTTTCCTTTTCGTCGGTTAAGTCTTGTTGAGTACCTTTGTACTTAGGGTTTGTTAAACCCTTGTTGCAGGTGGCCTCAGCAGCACGTAGGCTTTTGCCCATGTTGTATGATGGTTCTGGAGGAAGAGAGCCAGCAATAAAGCTAGGTTGTGGTGCACCCTTGGGCAGGGTGAAACTCTTTTGCTTGTTGTAATATGTGGTACCGTCATGCTACCCTACTGTCTTGATGGCTAAACTTATGGTTTGTAATAACTAAACAAATGGTTTGTAAGACTTCCACTGTTATTCCGATGTAATATATTCGTATATTTATATAAACTGTTGTAATACTACAATGCCTTCTGTGATGTATCCTGCTCGGAAAGAAAACGTGGATGATTTGGGTTTCCCGAGGACACCCGACAGACTACCGGGATTGTGTGGCTTACGTGTGCAGCAGTCAGAAGTCTGAGAGACAATGACGGGCGCACGTGGGCCATATAATTTGGGCAGTTCTGCCCCAGATTGTTAGAAGTTTGTTGATAAATTTGGGCCCACAGGTAACCAAAAATTGTATTTTTGTTCTATCTCACCATTTGTCCATATTCTAATACAACTCATATATATACTTGTAAGGTTCTTCACTTGTGATAGTCTTTGGTTACTAATTACTCCATATTCTTTTCCATCCACTCATAGTTTCTCTCTGTTTGCATCACACCTCCATGTGATGTGTGCTGCCATGTGTATTGAAACCTTAATTTGAGCTATTTATTTGGCTTGGAATTCCATGTTCATTGGGCTGTTCTCCATGTGATGTGTGCTGATTATTGAGAGAGAAATACTGTATTGAAACCTTAATTTGAGCTATTTTATTGAGAGGAAAAAACAAGCCAGCTGGTGGCTTTAAATTCCATGCCCAATGGAAGTGGAACAGTGATTATTTCCTGCATACATGCACACATGGTACGTGGTATACACATGCACCAGCATGCTATATATTAAATTAGTTTTTTCTGTATTAACAATAGTATGAGTGTGTAAGTCACATGCATAAATAGAGGTACTTTGGATATATATATATATATATATATATATATATATATATATATATATAAATTTAAATGCATATTTGTGGTATACTTTAGGTAATTTTTAATAGTTGTAGAGATAGGTGTAGATGCCAATTCAAGGGCTTAACTAGATTAAAACAGAGGTGAGTACTTTAAATATAGATTTTGGGTTACTTTGGACTATTTTTTAAATAGAAAATGTGGATGATTTTATTGGAAACAGAATGCATCTAAGGATTATTATTGCCAATGATGATTTGAGTCTACCTATTTTCTTCTGTATATTTCTATTTTGTGAGGTAATTGGTAGGATTTATCTCTTTTTCTAGCTAGCAAGTATATAAGGATTAAAGGGAAGCCTTAGTAATAAATTAATAATGTAATTGTAAGAAACAACAAAGTTTTTATTTATTCAAATCCAAATACTACATACAGAAAATGAGGGAGATGTGTGTAAGAAAAAATTCAGTGCAAACCCTTCGTTGCAATCATGAAAACCATTTAGAAAAAAAACATATACTTAAGGATTCTAAAAAAATGAAACTACACGCATCCATAGTGCATCCGTAGATGTACATTTAGCAAACACTTGAGATTCAAACTCAATCTAGAAAAAATCATATGAAAACAACAAACTCTAGGTGAGAACTTATGCACCTAAAGTTTGTTATTTTCATATGATTTTTTTTTTAAAATGAGTTTGAATCTCAAATGTTGCGACATTGTACGTCTATAGATGCATTATGGACGTGCATAGTTTCAATTCTTTTTTGAAAATTTCTAATCATGTTTTTCTAACTAAAGGATTTTCACGATTCAGCCGAATAGAGTGAATATTTTCTCGATGTGTGCACCATCAAACTCAAGCAAAAATATACACGAAGGATACAACACGAACTAGATGAATTGCGAGTGCAAAGAGCAGGGAGTATATATCGGGTGTGTTTGGTTTGAGAAATAGGATGGTCCATCATCTTCTCTCTTCACTTTTTGTATTTGGTTTGTGGAGTGAAATGAGTTGATCCATCACCATCTTATTCCTTACTAGCTAATAATTAGTATATGTATGAGGAATAAGTTGGTTCCACTATCATGGGATGAACTCACGATGCATCACCTCATAATGCATAGGTTGACTCCATGAACCAAACACACCCATCGACTGTACTTTCCTTTGAACTCATGTTTGCACGAACTGACGCGCACAGTAAATAATTCGTCTTCGCAGTATCTGTCTCCCAATGCAGCGAGCAAATATTACGCATGTGTGGTTTATTTGTCGCTACAAACAAATCGAGATCTCTAGGGTACATGGCCCTTAAAGCTTAAACTAGGGTATATATGGGCATGAACACTGCACATGCAATCCTGACAAGATGGATTAGTACTAATAAGCAACACAAACCGCATGCATGCCTAGCTAATCACCCCCAAAGGGAACACTGGAGCTGACTCAAAATTACAAGGCTCCAGCCATGCATGTGGGCCACACGCTTGAGTGCAACCACCAGCTCAGCGTTGTCCAAGACTCCAAGTTCTGCCTCATGCCTCATCATGTGGTGTGGGGCCGGGCGAGCAGCTACACTGGTTTCAATCCAAGAAGGATGTAGTAGATCAAGGTGATCGGCAGGGCTATCAGCATACCGAAAATTACCCTGCAAAATTTACAATGACCATATAATTAAATTCAATCTTCAGCTCTTGCAAAACCTGGCCCAACAATACACAAAGTATATATGCATGCATGGCTGATAATCACTTACATAGTGCTCAGGATGGCCGGGTGGACGTTGTATTCTTTCGCGAACACAAAGGGCACGATCCCTTGCGGTAGAGCCGCCTGTGGAATATAATGACCAGAAAATCATTACATTATTATTTATTTTATAGAGAAATAGAGTACATTGTCCCTTCCATCTAGTCGGGCTAGTAGTACAATGTTGCGGGGAAAGTTATACAACGTTGCATTGAACAAGCCCATTTATAAGAGCAACTTTAGTAGAGTTACTACTCAGACCTTCATCCTATATTATGGGCGCTACAGGGCAAAAAAAAAGTCACTCCAACAAAGCACCTACTCTTAGCCCTAAAAGTAGTATGCCCTCATCCTCGCAAACCCTCATTCCTAAGGGCTAGCTCTTCTGGCCCTACTCTTGGCCCCATAAGTAGGATGCCCACAAAGTCTTTCCTCGCAAAGCCTCATTTCCGAGGGCTCTTCCCAAGACTCTAGCTTCTTTTATATTTCCTACCATTTTCCATCCACTCCCACTCGGATCCCACCTGCACTGTCCTGTTCGAGCACTCCCACAACCACTAGCCTCAGATTCAGCCATTAGGCGCCACCTACCCTCTCCTCACAGGCCAAACCCGAACTCCGACTCTCCCCCTCCCCGCTACCCTCCTACCCAAGTTATGTCCTTCCTTTGCCTCCACCGTCGCAGCGCCCTCACGGTGTCCTCTACCCGAGCTCTACCCTCTCGTCGTCTCCACTGCCACTGCGAAATCAGGGCAACCCTCCTCACCTGCGTCCCTCTTCGCATGCGTGCCCTCTCTACGGCTCTCCTGCAAATTAAAGTGGTGAAGGGGGCTCACCCTCCCAAGCTCCCAGCCTAAACCTCACCTCTTGTAGGTTGCCCCTCTGCTTAAAGTTCAACCCCCCCCCCCCACCACCCCCCACTAGTAGCGGTGGAGGGAGCAATGGTGTCGGAGATAGTGAGAATGGAAGGCCATGTCACGAGACGACGAGACTCGGCAGCTATGGGTGGGGATGGAAGATGAGAGAAAAAGAAAAAAAAATGTGACTAGCAATGGGTTCGCTAAAGTAAAATCCTAATTTGGGGCTCCTGTTGTAAGCCTAGAAAACAAGACACCTAAAATGTAGGTGCCCTAAATAAAAAAAATAGAGACCCTAATTTGGTGTTGATATAAAGCCAGGAGCTCCACCTGACAGTCGGCCATGCACGTACTGGCGCACAGTTGGTAAGCCGGACACAACGGCCTGATTGGTTGAGTTCCAAAATTTGTCATGTCAAAGATTTAGCAAGCCAAAAGTTGGGTAAAAAATTGCCATAGATTTGGGAAGCCAAATGTAAGAGTTTGGCAAGTTTTAGCAGCAAACTAAGTACTAGGCAAAATCATGGGTTACCAAATCTTTAACATGACAAATTTTGAAAGCGAACCGGACTTTTCACCACTACTACCAATTCTTAAAGCAGATCGTTTATACATGTATACGGTTATTACCTGCACAATAGCGACCCGCAAAAGTGACCCTCGGAGGCCGATGGCTAGGGACGCGGCGGTCATGACGGCGGGGCCGGCGAGGAAGCGGACGCCCATGGAGATGCCGGTGGCGCGCCATCCGCACGCGATGAGATTCGGCTGCAGCGCCATAAACAATCCTGGCCACGAGACAGAGAGAGAGTGTCAGTTAGCTCGATCGGGCGGGCGCCGGCGCGCCGCGGGCCAGTGGCCGCCTCGGCGTGTGGGCGCGGGACTAATTGGCGGTGCAGGGCTACGGGACGACAGGAGCACAAGGGGTGTGGGCGTTAGTGTACTCACCCAGGCTAAACATGGCCATCCCGAGCCCGGCGTCCGAGAGGATGGAGATGGACTTGGCCACGACCGCCGGCATGGAGATGTGCCACCTGCAACCACCACCGTACGCCACACGTTAGGCGTCAGAGCTTAATTAGCTCGAACAGTACATACCAGCAGTATATTCATTCACAATTGGGCCAGCAGACAAATTAAGCACTGCTCTAACGGCGATGATTAGCCCAAGTAAACAGTTGTGCTGCAGAGGTTTATAACAAACTCCAAAAGAGGTGCTCATGATGACATGAATCCACCAATGATTGGCGTCCATCCAGTGCTTGTGCGCCGTGCGATCGAGCTCCCTTCGTCTTTCCGGCTCCCAACAGTTCGCGATTGGAGCTTGCCGGGCGGGCCCGCGGTGTGGTCCGGTCCGGTCCGGCCGGGGAAACATTCAACTCATCTGCCACCGCCACCGTCTGGGCGCCCGGCGCCCGTAAAAGCTGCTTTTCGGTTATTCCCGCACCGCCACGGCTCGCACACGGCGCATTGGTTCGGAGCCCCCTTCCCTGCATTTAGGCCGGAAGCTAACGTCGCGTCGTCGCCCACTGCCAGCAGCTTTGCTAGGCATCGCCAAAGATGGCAGACAAATCGAATCATCTCTCGCTTATCGCCAATTCGCCGGCACGAAACTTAACTATAATCAGGAAAAAGTACTGTCTGCGGTGCGCTACCGTCTATCCATGCCCAACTTGTCACCTCTCTGTTTATGTAATGTAAAGTCATTCAGTCCCTAGCACGATCAGAGCAACCAGCATGAACAGATATATATATACTGGCCTAGACGCCTAGTACTGATCGCTATTCGCTACCGAGTAAGCTTGAAGCGATACTCTATTCGCTTGCCTAATTGGTCGCAATCTGTTATGTAAACCAGTTACTACACCCCTAACATGTAGTACTCGGTAGACTAGCATAGACAATGAGTGAGGCAGCAGGTCACGTGAAAAGGTGTAGACTTCGTAGCATACCGGAACGCGATGAGGGACCAGGCGAGGCCGATGAGGCTGGAGTACGTGTTGGGGTTGCGGATCAGCTTGCGCCACACCATGATGAGTATCAGGCGGGTCATCACGCTCGCCGGCGGCATCTGCTGCTGCGCCCGCGCGCCGCCGCCCCCCGCGTCGTCCGGGTCGTACCCGCCGCCGCCGTCCGCGTCCTTCACGCGCAGCTCGGCCGTGGCGGAGCTGGACCCCAGCTTCGTCAGCTGCTCGCCGGGCCCGCCTGCTTCTCCCGCCTCCGCGGCGTCCTCCGCCGTCGTCTTGCCACCGCCGAAGCCGAAAGCCTCGTCTTCCCCTGCCGCCGCAGCTACTGCACCGTTGCTCTCGTTCTCTGAAAACGAAAAAAAAAGGATTCGCATACTGTACGCAAAGCATGAAGCAGATGTGTGTGCTAGCGTTAGTGTTGACGCGCGCGCGCGGCGCGGCGCGGACCTTTGCCGGCCGAGCCGTTCGGCGGTAGCTCGGCGGGGACAACCAAGCGAATTTCCTTGCCCGCGCCACCGGTGAAGACCGGCAGGCCGCTGACTTCCGAGACGGGGGAGGCGCTCGAGCTCCACACGAACATGTGGAGCTCCTTGGCGTCGTGGCAGCTGGGCACGGCGCCCGCGGGTCTCCACGACGACCGTGCCGAGGCCGAGCGCTCGTCGAAGTTGGACTGCCGCGGCGTCGGCCCCCGCGACGAGTGCATCGAGTACAGCTCGGCGGCGCCGAAGCTCGAGGCGCGCGCGCCGGCGGGAATAGGCGGGGGCGGCGCGCCGGAGCCGTCGACCATGGCGAAGAAGTCGGCGTGGTTGAAGTTGGAGCCCCGCGGGCTGTGCTGCCGCGACGAGCTCATGGAGTATATCTCCGCGCCCGTCAGGTTGGACGGCCGCGGCGTCACCATCGTCGTCAGCAGCAGCGACCGCCGCGAAGCCGACGAGCGGCGCACCGTGACGTGCAGCCGGCCGTCCTCCGCCACCTCGGCCTCCGTCTCGGCGCGGCCGCCCTCCAGCGACACCACGTCCGCGTCCACGTGCAGCGACGCGATGGCCGCCGCGGTGTCCGGGAACTGGTCCGCGATCAGCATCCGCGCGGCGCGGAACTCGAAGAGGAACAGCAGCAGCGTGTACCAGATGATGCACTGGAGCACGATGACCTGCACCATGAGGGACCCGGCGTAGGGCCCGTACATGGCGATCAGCAGCGGGATCCCCATCACCAGCGTGTTGGGCAGCGTGGACACCGAGAAGAGCGTGATGGACCAGTCCAGCCGCGGCGCCGCGGCCGCGAGCCTGGAGGGCAGCAGCCGCGACCACACGGCCAGCCCCGCGAGGACGAGCAGCTTCTGCAGCGTGTCGGCGGCCAGGAACCGGAGGTTCATGGCGTAGGGGTCGTTGGTGGAGATGAAGTGGAAGGACAGCAGCGGCACGGCGAAGATGGCGACGAAGCGGTTGATGCCGGAGCACTGGTCCGGCGTGAAGATGCGCCACCACCGCACCGACCCGTACGCCAGGAACATGGCCACGTAGAGAGGCACCATCGCGGTCAGCACCGTGTATATATCGTTCCCCGATATCATCTTGGCCCACCCCCGGCGGCCAACGCCCAACGGAGGAGGGAGGAGGGAGGAGGGAGGAGGGAGGAAGGCTCTCGGGATTCCTACTTCAGGAGGTGAGGTGTCGCGGACTCTCGGGTGGAGTATCCGAGTTACATGCAGGAGTGGGCTCTTCCGGTCTTGTGAACTGGGCAACGCCGGTCGCCGGCGCCATTCTATTTATACGGGAGCAGCGCGAATCGGTTGCGACTGCGACAAACAAACACCGTCTAGATCGAGCGATCCGGTGGAATGCCGTGTGCACGGAAAAAACGCCGGAGCCGGGGTTTGAATCAAGGTTCATTTATGGCATGAAAATCAAGATTGATTTTTGTTCGAGGGTCAAAGTTAAGGGCGCATTTGGTGAAGCTCACGCCGGCTCCGGCTCTGCCACTGTGCGGTACTATGGCGGAGCCGGCGAAGCATCACAAACGTAGCTTCGACAGTTCTTTCTCAATCCACGTTCATTTGTATAGGAGCTGGAGCTGTTTTTTTAGCCGCTACAGTGATCTACAGGATTGCACAGTCACTGTATGGGGAGCCGGAGCCCCGGAGAGCCGAGCCAAACACAGCCTAAATTTGAATCGGCCACTCATGACCTGTTTGGTTGCTTGCCCATGCAAGCTTCTCTGGCCAGGCACCAATTTAGGCAATTGATTTTGACTGCTCGATGACCAAGATCTGTTGCCTGATAGGCATTTGGCTGCCAGGGCAGCAACCAAACGGACCTTTATTTTCTTTGATTTTTTAGATCTACATATGTGTTTGTCTAAATAAATCAACCTCTAGAGTTATATACCAAGTTAAAACTTTTATAGGTTTAACTGAATTATTGAAAAAACAATACTTATGGCATAAAATTAGTATAATTAGTGTACTCGTTTAGTGTCATAGATGTTAATATTCTTTCATACAAAATTAGTCAAACTTACAAAAGTTGATTAGGATAAATCTAGAAGTTATTTATTTAAAGACGGAAGGAGTGTCCAGAAAGATTTGATTTGCATGATCACCCCATATTGTCAATTCCGACCTTGGAGACCAAGGTAACTTTTGGATAACTTGCCAGGTACATGTGAAATAGCATCAACCTGCTCGCATGTAAAATTCCTGATATTGATTTTGATTATAGTTAGGAAGAGAACAATGTAATAATTCTAGCTTCGTATATACCCCATCCATCCAAATTATAAGAAGTTTTAGCTTTTCTAAATATACTATTTTTTACTATGCATCTAGACATGGTGTACATCAAGTACATAACAAAAACTATGAATCTAGAAATAACAAAGCGTCTTACAATTTATGGCATGAAAATCAAGATTGATTTTTGTTCAAGGTTCAAAGATAGATTTGAATAGGCCACTTAGGGACCCATTTACGCCCCGTTCATTTGGGCTTGTTTGGCTTATAAGCCGTACTTTTTCAGCCAACGAACAGTATTTTTCTGTCACATCAAATCAGCCAACAGTACTTTCAACCATGGCTTATCAGCCAAACAAGCCCAAATAAACAGGGCGTTAGTGGTTAATATTCTTTCCTACATAATTAGTCAAACTTACAAAAATTACTTAGTACAAGTCTAGAAGTTATTTATTTAGAGACAGTAGATTTGCTTATGGATTTGCTTTGGACAAAGCTAGAAGTTATTTATTAAGCTGCATGACAGCTTGTTAATCTCTCTATTTCTTTACATGAATGTCCCTAATATCTTTGATTAATTTGTCCTCTTGATTAGTTTTCTTACATGGCCAATAAACTTTATTCGCTGCCGACCTTAGAGCAAGGCTAATAATACAGCCGACTGCTGGCTGTAAGGATTTTTTAGCCTATCTTTCAGCTCACCCATACAGTAGTTAGCTTTTCACTATTAATACATATCTCACTTGTTTCTCTCACAAAGTTTCTTGGTGCTTGTGTCTAAAACGGAGCATCTCTAAGAGTACCCAATATTTTCTTTCAAAAACATAGAGTTTTGCAACTCCTCAAAAAGTATTGGGAGCAATAAAGAAGGCCATCTCCAAGAGTTTTCAATAATCCACTCCTAACATATAGAAGATAATTTTATATAAGGAATCATATACTATTTCTAAACTATCGTAACCACTTTTATATATTCTTTTTCTCTTGTTCATTTGCATCAAAAACCCTTTCCTACTCTTTATTCTTTCCCACGCTCTTTCACTTTTAGATTGACCGACCCATACACACCGAAAGAAGATACGCGCCACCTGAATTTGCGGATCTTTACGCGCAAGTGGGGGGTTTTCCCAAGTGCCAAAAGATTTGGAGATGAGTTTAGAAGTTGTTGGAGATTGATTTTTTTCATTCTTCCAAAAAAAACATGGATTGTGAAGGATTATTGGATACTCTTGGAGATGCTTCCTTACAACTCGCTTCTTCTCAATCTCCTCTTCTCTCTCCTCCACCTCAGCATTTAGCTTGTTTATAGTCAGTTATTATACTTGCTCTTAGCAATTAGGAAATGTGTGATAAAAGTCTCGCCTACAACCATCAATGCTGAATGAAAGGCATTAGGTGCGCTTGATATTGCTCGTTGTGGCTGTAGAGCTAGAGTGATTTCCCTATTTGCATGCGGAGCAAAGACTGAATGAACGCCGTTTCCATTTTAAAGGAAAAAGATTTAAGCATGCAAAGCCTTTTAGTTTGTATTTGGTTGATACACATCGTGAGATGAGATGGTCCCGTTCTAGTTCTTAGGGACAGGTTGCCCCGTATCCTGTTTGATTAAGGAGGGACGGGGCTGTCTAGTTTTCGGTTTGGTTATGGAACATCAAAAGTGAGATCATCCGCATGAAATGTGGGGCCATCCATCCAACTCTTCTCTTCTTTCCTTTTTTGCTTTCTTCTTATTTCCCATCTTCCTTCCTTTTGTGCGTATGCATCCACCAGAACCTATGGCACAACCGCCCGCACCGCCCTTCCTCCTACGCCTCTAGGCCAACGACCTGATGCCCATAGTAGGGCTAGGCCTGGAGCCCTTAAGCTGGCGGCGAGGATGAGGTGGAGCTCACCCAACACTACTATAAAATTAATTTTAGGATACATGCTATTTTATTAACGGAGGCAGACACAAAATGTAACTGTCTCCTAAAACACATGAGGATTTTCGGAGACGATCATTTTATTTATGTAAGCTGCCAAAAAAATGTTCGTCTGTCGAAATCAATTTACAGAGATGGTCATTTTATTTACGGTGACACCAAAAAGTTATCCGTCTCTCAAAATCTATCTATGGAAGAGACCCACCTCTCTTAATATGGCCGAGGCCTAGCAAGGCTGGTTAAATACGTGGCCAATTACTCTCTATCGGGCCTATGTATATATTGCCTTAGGGTTTTCAGCTCTCCTCACCGTTCTCTCATCCTCTCCTAAATTTCTCTCCTCTCACGGCTCCTGGCGGCAGCGCATTTTGGTGAGCGGCGATAGACGCGCAAAACTAATGGCGAGCGGCGGCGACGCCCCTAACCCACCCTCGAGCGGTGGTGCGACCTTGTAGCAGGGGCGGGGCCTCGAGCGGTGGTGGGGCCCCGAGCGACAGCGGCTGCTCACGGATCGGTGATCAGTAGTGTGGCCTTAGAGTGGCGGTGGATCCAGTGGTGTGGCCCCAGCAATTGCACGGCCTTGGAGCAGCGGCGGATCCGGTGGTGCGGCCCCGAGCAACGACGCAGCCTTGGAGCGGTGGTGGCGACGCATGACTCCCGAGTGGTGACGTGGCCTCACATCAGCGGTGCGGCCCCGAGCGACGAATCCGGCTCATGGCAGCGGCACCACGGTTCGTGGCGGCACGACAGCGGCGGATCCGGCTTGGGGGCTAGGAGTGGGCTCGTTGATGGGCTCAGAAATGGGCTCGCCAGTTGGCTCATGGATGTTTTTGTTTTTTTATTAATTAATAACAGAGGCGGACGTTGTAAGGAACCCGCTTCCGTAGTTGCTATTTTTGCAAGCGGGCAGGGAGGCCACCTCTGCTGTCGTAGATTAACAGAAGCGAAGAGTTCTAGGCGGACTGAATGCACGCCTCTAGAAATCTATTCTGACCGTCTGCAAAAATATGTACTGCAGTAGTGCAAAATGCGTCCGTGCCAAACTCCAACATACTATGTTCCACCCCATCGGCCTCCGCTGTGTGTCTGGCCTCTTTCTACCCTGCCCGGCGGCATCACGAGCTCATGCTCCCGTCTCTCCCACCCCCTATGGCTTGCGAGGTCCGCCAATGCCCATGCTGGCACCTCTGCAACCAGCGCCTTAACGGTCGGCGCACCATCGATCTCCACCTTCACCCCCTGTCATCTTCTCTGCTCTCGTATGGCCGCATCACCTATGTCTATCCGCACACATGGCCGTGTTCTAGGTGGGACGAAGAAATCCCCTCAAAATTTTGGAATGGTCTTGTCTCTCAACCAAACTTTAGGACTTGTCCCATCCCGTCAGTGAAACCAAATACCCCCTTAATGATGAACACAGTTTGCATCATTACTGGGTGCAAATGTTGATCCCCATTAATCTCCCATATATGAGTTTCTCAAAAAAAAATCTCCAAGATCAAGAAGGATTCGCATCTGATCAATAGGGCATCTGTACTGTACATGAGTTTCTGATCCTGTAGACGGACTATTGCTATACTTTTTGCTGGCTTTCACTTTCACACTTTGATTTGTTTGTGAATCACATTATGGTTTCTTTTATTTGCATGGGAAGGACCAAATGGCTGAGAAAGGTACAACATCGTTTATTGGTGACCGATCGCGAGGGATTGATATTTATGTATTTTTCATGTGTTGTCCTCTATTTTTTGCACAAACAGTTTGGATGATGAGATGTCGCAAGGTTTTTTTCCTATGACCTTGCAGTTGCAGTGGACTAAAAATGGCAGATGAAGAAATAATACTCCTATATATTCGGCGTGCGCTGTCCCCAACTCTTGGTAAAGCATGATGCTAAACATTTAGCTGATCATGGTCCAA